TATCGATAGACACGACAATTGATGATGTTCCCCGAATGCCCCACGTAGCAGGCTGCAGTAGCTGCTGTTGGTGGCCGTGGTGCTCAGACTGGCATGCGACCAAAAGTGACTTTAACAAACTAGGGCGTTCTAATGTCAGATTTGTCTAAGATGAAACCGAGTGATTTTTTTCTTGTGCGGTCTTTTCTGTGACAGCACACAAGTATAAATACTTATTGTGACATTTCCCATGTCCCACCTGTGTAGGCTAATGCATAGGCTCTGCGATTCAATGCAGAAGTATAAATCAAGTTTTACTCATGCTATACACAGGTAAATGTGTCCCAAAGCTTTATTTTTTAGCGTATAATCTATTTTTCACTTAAGTCACAAGTGCTGCTGACGTTATTCCGAGGTTTGAGTGCTGTAGCTCATCTGTGTAATATGTGAATATATATGGTATGGTATATATGGTTGAAGCAATGGTATGTAATGTAATATTGTGTGTATTCACCATTTATAGGTCATTAATTCAGTTAAGGAGTTGTATTTATAGCCTTTTTCAGTGATGGATTTAATCTGACCATGTTTACTGTTGTGAATTGCTAAAGGATTTTGCAACTAATGTCATACCTTGTTTTTTGTATTTATATGATAATTAAGCATGCATATTTTAGTTTATATTGTAGCATACTCTATAGTTTCAGTTGTCCTTCCCTCACGAGGACAAAAGAATCCTCAAGAGGGAAGCCTTCCACTCTTCACGAAATGTTTACAAAGAAAAAAAAGGACCTTCGGCTTAAAGGATGAAGTTAGTAGCAGCTTGATGTGAGAATCAAACCCTTTGAATAACATGCAAAACTAAAAACTTAATTGTAAAACTCGAAGTGACACGTGGGAGTAACACATTGTTTTTTTCCCTTTAACTTTCATTGACTGATGTAGCATTAACAAAATGAAAATGAAATAAAAGTGTTGACCCATTTATTTACTGTTGACAGTTGCAGTTTGGCAGTCTTTGCCCTGAGATAATTGCTAACCAGTGAAGTTTAACTCTCTTAATAACAAACTCATTAATCATTGACTAGTTGTCACAGTGCACAAATGCACCTTTGGCATGTTTTATCAGCACAATAAACACATTGTTAACCAGTCACAAGAACTCATACATAGGGAAGCCTTTAAGGACGGCGCATGCACAAAGCCAACACGATCTGCAAGATTGGAATCAACATGTCTGTCAGTCTCACCACCACAGGTCAGAAGCTTTTAAAACTATGTGTATTTGCTCATAGGTTTGTGTACAACTGCTTTTACAACAAACCAAATCTATGGCAACACAAAAATAGCTTTTATACACAGCTTTTAGGGCATTAGATAGATAGATAGATAGATAGATAGATAGATAGATAGATAGATAGATATGCTAGGAGTTTTGACTATAGCATTTTGACTATATATCACTTCCAGCCTGGGCAAAGCCTTTGCTTTCTGTCTTTGCTATCTGTTGGTCAAGGGATATAATATTCTGATATTTGCTCCTTGTGCTATCTACAGTATTGAGATTGTTTCAGTTAGCTTTACCTTTGTTTTGACATCGCCATCCCCAAGACCTCTACCGCCACCCCAATGTTACGTAGGTGAAGCAATGACTTCCGTGGACCATCCATCAAAGTTGGCCTGGGATAAGAATTTTGGCTGAGAGTTAATTGTGAAATTGCACATGTACAATTTAGCAGTGATCAGGATTCAGATGATTACTTTAACATATATGCCATTTCTAACCACCTGAATTCT